GAAATCCATGTGTCTGTTTCTTAATTTTGATGTGGAATTCTGCTTTACTCCTTGGAGCAGCTTGAATAGGTCTGTGTTCTTGGCTACTAAGAAGACTGATCATTTCTTAGAAAAAAAATCATTTAGGATGTCATCTTTGGCTCACTTTCCCAAGGCTGAGTCCCCTGCATACCATGATTACTGAGCAAATATACACAGGATTGTCCTGTACCATGGCTAACCATATTACCTCTCTAACTCCATTTCTATATCAACTGTCTGGATTCCTTTGACGATTCGGCATTGTTGCCATGGAAATCTGTCACACGGAACAGTGGGAACTTACGAGGAACTTATGTGCAGACTTTTCATGCACTTGTGTATCTTGAGAGGAGTTGCAGATACCCATAGACAGATGCTTGGATTCAGATGAAAGGTACAATCTTATGTGTATTTAGACATGGCTGACTATGGAGTGCTGGGAGTCATCAGACTTTTTTCCTACGCAAACTCAGTTGAACTTAGGTTTTCTTGAAATCAATGCAAAACACCAGCCATGCCTAATTGAACTCAATGAGACTCAGTTTAGTCTGGAGTTAACCCACAAAGCACAAAGTGTAGGTGCACAGATGGTGGAGGGGGGTCTTTACATGTGAGGATTTCCCCTGTCAAATATGGATTCCATGCAGAGAGGCAGGCCAACGGGATCCTAAACCACATGCCACATCCGAACGGAATGTCTCTAAAAGGCTGCAGTAACAGTATTGTGATTTTCTGAAGGCAAAGCAAGATTATAGTATCTGGAATCTGCAAGAAACTGTGGCAGTTTGTATATTCTCCTGTTCTTGCAACGGTTAGTATTCCAGTCCTACAGAGCATGATCAGTTCTCTTTGGACTATTTGGGAGGTTTCTTCCCATGTCCAGACTTTTTTTCCTACCTTGAACACTTTTGCAAACCTTGGGGTTTGCCCCAGTCCTGCTGCGACCTCTTCCTTTGTGTATGGATGGTCTCTTTTTGGCCACATACTCATACATGCTCATTTTGAATGCATTCAGAAGAGTAAGACTGGTAATGCATTAAATTGACTGAAATACCAGTATATCCCCATACTCATGTTTCACATTTAAAAGTCAGTACAAACTGAGGCTACCTGTGCTTTTGCCATCCCAATACTGTGAAAACTTTGACGTTGAGCCACACTGCACTTTCCCTCCTTCTTTTCCTACCCATTTTCCAAGGTCCACTGGGCCAAAATCGCCACAAAGGTGATTCCAGGAACACTTTTTGGGAAGTGCATTGCATGGCTTACTTCCAGGTAAAAGTATTAAGGAAATACATGATAACTACTTGAAACAGACTGAAAAGTAGCTTTATGTATCTATAACTAGATAGATATTCCATTGGGTGGTCAGATTTTTAATTGGTAGCAGGAAGGGGAGCTATGCATGTTCCCAGGCCAGAGCATCAAAGATCCTCTGTCCCTTTCATTCTGTCTGATTGACTAAAGTGTCATCCAAGCTTGCCAGCTGCCTTCTGCCTGCCATTATGAATAACTCACCAAATAAAAAGTGAGACACCTCTAATCATTTCTCAGGAGAACAAATGGTTTTTGGCTTTCTTTAAAGCCAGTTGCCATGGACATCCTAATTACTAGTACCAGATCCTTCTTTTTCTTCCCCACCCCCCACTTCCTCCATCTTTTCTATCCTGCTGGATAATCATTTTTATCACTCTGCTTTCAGAAGAACATCTGTCATGAGCACCTGTCAGAGCAGGTGGGTTTTATAGGTTGCAAATATCTCACCAATTTTCATTACTTAGACTGGGGAGTGTACACATTTGAATGATCATTGAACTAAGCATGGACTTCTGTATCTCACAACCAGCTACTACAAATGTGTTGTTAGGGGCACAAAATAAAACGAGCCCTTATACCAACTGTATGGTTTAGTCAATAAATCACAAAAGCCAATAAAACCCTTATTTATTTATTTACAAACTTTATGTGCTGCTTCATATTCTGGTATGGAGATTCCGGAGCAGTGAACAATCAAAGATAAGACAGAGAAAAGGATACAAAATGTTAAAAATAAAATTTAAAAACATGGCTGGTTTGCTCAGGAAGGCTTCCTGAAATAAAAGTATTTCAGTTAAAATGATGTGATATTGGTGTCACCAGCAGAGGATGGGGCTGCCCCAGAATGGAGGCCCCCTCACTGAATCTCTTTGGGTGGACTCCAGTTGGACCATGGAGCCAGGAGGGACCTAGCATCTGATGGGCAGATTACAAGGAAGTGGCTGGGAAGAACGGCAAGGAAGAAGGCATCTCAGGGCTCTTGGTCCGAGATCATTTAAGGCTTTATACACTGGTAGTAAAACCCTACAGCTGAGCTGGTAGTGGTTATGCAAGCCTGAGTGAGGGAGTGGCATGTTGAGAAGGGACATCTCTTAATGACAGCCAAGTGCTGCATTTTCCATTTGCTCCAGCTACCGGACCAGTTTTAAGGGCAGCCCTTCTAAGAGGTCATCCTGTCCTGATGAAGTTATTAACTCCTGTATCACTGAGGCCATGCTATCCCTGTCCAGGATAGGTCATAGCCAGTGAACCAGACACTGGAAAAGCCACTCTGGATCTTAAACTGCTAGCTACTTTGAAGTTCACTTTTTTATTATTTATTCATATATTCATTAATTTTTTTTGTATCCTGCCCTTTACAGTGTCTCAGGGCAGAGCTAAACCAGAAGAGGACGGGTGTAACATTTGATTCTATGGCATGGATGGGAAACCCCTGGCCCTCTGCCAAGCCCTTCCTCTGCCACAAGCCCCAATTCTCCAGGGCTAGAAGCATTTCCAGCATTATTTGATCAGTGACTGGGGAAAGCAGCTGGAGCTTCCCCATTGTGCCTTGTGCCATTTCAGCTGGGAGGGCGAGCATTGCATTAAATGCTTCACCTGTCTTGCATCCTTCCCAGTGGGGGAGATGGGAGGGTGGGCAGAGCCATGATGGAGAGGTGCTACGTGCCCTGGTACATCAACCATCACTGTGTGGGGGCTTTCTCTGATCAAAGCCAGGTCCCTTGGCTCCTCCAACCAGGGCCTGCGTCAGGGCGGCTCCACCTCCATCCTCGCCCTCCCCAGTGGGGGGAAGCATGGGATAGGCAAAGCCAGGCCCCCCATGTGAACCTCTATCTGGAGGAGCTCAAGTTGGCACTTTGGCTGGGGACTGGATGATGGCAATGGGGTGAACGCACTCTTTCCACTGATAATATCTGTCCCACCAATTGCTGGGTTTTGAGCAATCTGTTTCTCCAACCCTCTTCTATGGTCTGCAGAAAAAGGCCAAATGAACTACGGAGAGGGTGTGCTAAGCCCATAAGAAAAAAATGCACGAAGTCTGCCATGGAACTCAGTTTTGTTTTGCAAACTGAGACGGAACAAAGAAAAATAATCAACACAGCAGACACTGAATGTTGAGCACGCCTACTTGAACCAGGATCAAGGAAGAAATCACAATGTGTTGAACTTCTTATAGTTTTTGTAGTCAAAATGAGGAGTGTTAATTCTTGCTTAATTGAACTGTGCTGCTGTTTGAAAGCACAGACTTAATACCTGACAGATTCTTTATTCTGGTTTCAAAGAGCAGTAGTTTGCTACTATTATTTACAATCCACTAATTTTACCATTAATTTTAATCACTATTTTTCTCTGAATGCTGCTGCAACAATAGAACACAGTGGTAGGAAGGGCTTTATTCTGTGAAACTTCCATAAAATACTTTTAACACACAGCTGAAATACTGTTTAACATGCTGCAATTTCTGCAACTTGTAGGCAGGCGTGTGTAGTGCAACCAAGAAGCTGATATAATAATTCCCCAGACATCTTGAGGGGCTCTTATTTTCCCACTGACTTGCCTCAAGCAGTGAGAGCCAGAAGATTTACTGAAAGGGAGGGACTGACAATATTTCTAGTTTGGATTCTGCTTTTTACATGGGCAGAGGCTTCTCCGTCAACCTTGGTAGAAGGCTATTTGGAGTTCATCTGCTCTCAAGTTTCAGTCAAAGAACTGCACTTCAAAGGATGGTATTGAGTTTTGAGAACCAGTATGAAAGAGGGAAGGGTCCAGCTGCTGACACCGACTGGGACTCTGGTTCAGGGAAGCCCTCTTACCACATTGTGGTTTACAGGATACTTTGGGGAAAGACTTAATAACTGGTTTACAGGATACTTTGGGGAAAGACTTAATAACTGGTTTACAGGATACTTTGGGGAAAGACTTAATAACTGTAGGAGTACAAGTTCTATGCCTGCAGGAAAGCGATACTCTTAATTCCATACACCCCTCTATCTGCTAGCACTTAACTAACATCCAGAGAACCGTTTCACCAGGGCTGTCCCAAACTGCTTTGCTGCCAGAGGTGAAAGGCAAGGTGGGACCCTCCAGCAGGGTGTGTGGAGAAGCCAGCCCTGGACTCCAGTGCCAGCAAAGGGGCAGCGACCTCCACAGCATCCAGGAGCAGCAGGCTCACTTGGGAGACGCAGGGCAAGCTGTGTGGCACCTGCAGCACTCTCCTCTGGCAGAGCAAGCAGCTTGGGGTCTCAGGAGGAACGATGGCTGTTTCTGATGCCCAGTGGCCAGATAGCTCCAGGCATCTGTGGTCTGAAGTCTAACTTCACTGCTTGTAATGACAGGCCCAGCCCTGATTTATAAAACAAAGCAAGGTGGCCTACCAAATTAAGTACAGTAAAAACAACAGTTCTGCTTCTCTGTTCTGTTTTCCTTAGCTCCATTTTTCATAGAATCATAGGATCATAGAATAGTAGAGTTGGCAGGGGCCATGAAGGCCATCGGGCCCAATCCCCTGCTGCTGCAGGACACCAGTTCACACCATCCCAATCACTTCCTTGCTTTCAAATAAAATTGGACTGTAGTGCAGCAGGAACTTACAACAATAAAACAATTGAAAAATAACATATCAGAATTCTAAAAATCCTCAGAAATCAAAGGTTTCTTCCTACCTTTTGATTTCCTTTCGTAGAAGCTTCTGCCTCGAGCTGGGGCATTCTCTGTGTACAGATTCTCAAGATCTTCTTTCCATGTTTCTGGATTAAAATGTTTAAGCAGTTCCTCAACAGTATTGAATTTGGCGATGGCTTGATCCAGAGCTTCCGCAGTAAGAGTAGGGTCAGTCACTGATGAAGAGTGATAGGAAACGCCCTAAGAGTGACATATAGTGCAGTGTACTTTGAAAAACACAGATAGAAAATGAAGGGGAAAAAAAGATCAAAGAAGCTTTTTCTTTTTAGAGCTGTTTCACAGAACGTATTCATGCAAGGCTAGTGTTGCGCATTGTTAAATGCAATGGTTGTGTTCTTCCTGCCCTCTTCCTTCCTTCCTTCCTTCCTTCCTTCCTTCCTTCCTTCCTTCCTTCCTTCCTGTTTTTCCTGGCCATATCATTTCCATAGTCAAAGTTCTTCAGTGATTCACAAACAGGCAAATGTATCTATGTTTGTGACTAACCTATCCATATGAGCACTATTATTTATATAGTGCCATCAGTGTAATGCACATGACACTTTACAAGATAAAAGAGGATACGTCCCTGTTTCCAAGGTCTTACAATATAAAATGCAATCGTTTAACAGAGGCATTAAGCCAGGAAGGGGAAGGAAATGGTGGTTGTTTCAGTTACAGGAACTTAGGCTTAATTATAGTGGGGTAGGGAATTGGGGGCCTGGAGGAATGTTGTCCATGGGGTCCTGATGGGTTGGGTATGACTTCATGACTAACGTAACCTAAGGGGACTGGGGAGTTGTGCCACTGAAAAAGGGGGGATTTTGAAGATGGGTCTGAAGGAAGTAGGAGAGGGTGTTTCATGGAAATGCTCTGGGTGACATTTCTGGACATGAGGGGCAGATTGGAGAAAAGCCATTGTCCTGTGAAGGTCTGGTGGAAATTTAAATAGCTGAGGGTGCTGGAGACTTGAGTGTTGGGTGCAAGAATGTAACAGGACAGGGGGTAAGACTATGGAGGCCTTGAAGGCAAGGATGAGGTGCTTTTGCTGAACATGGGAATGGACAGTATTGCAATGTAAGGATTTAAGGAGATTTCTGCTGCAAGGTAGAGGGGGAGGGAACTGAAGTGAGGCCGTAGAAGACCCAAGAGGAGAAGCTGAATGAGTGATTGAGCGAGTGATCAAGACCAATGGCAGGTGAATACCAGTCATGGAACACCAAGCAGCCCAACCACTATTACCTTTCTCTGGAATAAAATACTCAGCTTTGAAAATCAAGGATAAAAGCGGAAGTTTAGCTCCCTTGGGCAGGGTGGACAAGTCAAAAGAACCTTAACTTGATGGCAGATTCAGTGTAAAAGTTCCTTTTTATGGACAGCCTTAACAAGGGTGAACTGCTGCAAAGATGGTATTACCAATTTTAGCAGAAAGGCTTTTGCCAACCGTACTATGGCTCAAACACTGTATCCGTGGAAGAGGACTAAGAGGATCTGTTTTAATGTGATACGATTGGGACTGACCAGGCTTAACCTCACAATTGGCAGTCCATTTCTACTAAGACCAAATCAGCAGCTATGTTTTTATTCCCCAGAAAAGTAACAAGAATTCAGAATGAGTGTACATTTTAAAAATAACAAACTGATTCAGCAACGTTGATTAGAAATACTCTAATTCTGCCAAAGTTACACAGCTGTACAAATGAGCCCTAAGGTGGTGGGGGAAAGAAGGAAATGTGAGGGGGTATAGTTGCAGCTTGCTCATTAGTTAAACAGGGATATGCCTGTGGTAGGACTTCATAAGTGCAAACTTATGCAGACTATTGCTATAATCTACCATTGGCTGGGTATAAGGCTTGGAGCCAAGAGCCTCAGCTGTACAAATGTGGCCCTGAGCTGTGGGCATCTGTGGCAATAGCTAGGCAGTAGAAGCAACTCACTTCTGGAAAGACCTTTGGCAGAGGCAGGCAAGGGGCATTATGCAGCTGTGGCAAATGGCCTGAATTGCTCCCAGACACAGGGCAAGGCATTTTGCTTCCTGAATCAGAACACGTTGGTTCCCCAGCTAACATGGACAAAGGCTGACGAGAGGGTGGCTGTACCTTCTTCAGCACTATTGGTGGGACAGCATCCTCCAGCAGACCTGAAGCCAACGGGTTAGCTTAGAGCAGGGCTCCTCAGACCTTTTAAGGCCCAGGGGGCCAGTTGAAAGGTGCCGGTACTGGGCGCAGGCCGGAAAGATGGTGCCGGCAGGCTGTGCGGGCTGGCATGGGAGCAGGGGCATGGTGTGCGGGCATGGTGAGGCAGGCGGGTGTGGCGAGGGGAGGGGAGGCGAGGCGAGGAGAGGCGAGGCAGGGGCGGGCATGTGCCGCAATGTAGGGGTGTGCGTGCAATGCAGTGGCTTGCTCACTTGGAGATTGTTTTCTCCTAGTGAGTCCAAAATGATCTCCTTGTGAGCAAGCCGTTGCCTCCCCGCATGGGGGGTGGCGGGGGCGGGCGAGGCAGGAACGTTGAAAACCTCTGAGGCGGGTCGGATAAATGGCCATGGCAGGCCAGATCTGGCTCCCGGGCCGTAGTTTGAGGACCCCTGGCTTAGAGGGTAAAGGGCGGGTTGCATGGCACACAACTTCATCTACCAAGAGCTTCCCACTACTACCTGAAGCAAACTATCTCTCTTCCTAATGGTAGCGTTATTCCTGCCTAGGCACCTCTTTAAACAATTGTTCTCAATATTTCAGAGAGTGTAGATTGCAGTGGCCAAAGAGTAAATGGCAATGCCTTTAAGGGACTGTACTATACCAGACCTTCAAGTTTTACACTACTGCCTATTATTCACTGGGTTTGATTCAAGGCATTGGTACTAAAGTATAATGCTTTGAATGGCTCAGAACGGTGATGACTGGAAGAACAACTTTCCCCTTGCCTTGGAAGATCCTTCTACAGATCGAACAGATTTTGTTTACACTATAACCCATGAGAGGACCTTCTCAGCCATAGCACTCTGCTTGTGGAATTACCTACCCTATGAGCGCCGTCTGACTCCAAACCTTTCTGTAGACCTTGTGGTAATTGGCTGGTTCATTGATGTTTCTGTTTCTAAACTATCTCTTTTTATTTGATTGTTGTGACCCACACAGAGATCATAGGTGATAAGGCATGGGATGCAGATTTTATAAATAAAATAAATGGACACAATACCCATGAATAGGAAGCCAGATCAGAGTGTTCAACTACTTAGGCCAGGATTGTCGGCTCTGACTAGATAGGGGCTCCCAATGGTCACCAGGAGAGCTCTTCCCCAACACCTCTGACTTGATCTTTTAAATCTAGGAATGCTACAGATTAAAACCAGGACCTTCCATATGCAAAGTATGTGCTGCATCTCTCCCCCAAGCTTGATACAACATGTTCCCCAGTACTGTGTTTGGATGGGTTTGCTTTCAGAGAAGCCCAGCCGAATTACTTCAGCCCAGTACCTATTCCATGACAAAATCACGACATTACCAGGTAGTGCTCCAGGGCTGATTTTTGGGAGTGATCTCTCAGCAAGTAACGTTTTGTCATTATGTCACATATTCTTCTTCTTGGGGACTTCAGCCTAACTCCAGGCTCTTTTACAATTCCTTTTCTAGATAAAGCAGCAACACAGTACTTACCAAAACAGGGCTTGTGACTGATTCCCAGTTGGTTTCAGATGCAGCAGGCTGGAGAACATCCTGAAGAGCAAACAGAAAGTGGGGGGAGGGATACTGCAGTCAGAAAAGTATTGTACAGGTCTGTTTTGTTTTGTCTTGTTTTTTGAAAGTATGAATTATATGGTCGCTAAGCATTTTAATCCAAAACACATGAACTTGCTCCGTTCTTCATTGTTGTTTACTGATTCTGGTTCCTTTAGATGCCTTCATGTGCATTCCGTACTTCAGTAAAGGTTATTCAGGACAAGGAGTTGGATCCTGCTTTTGTCAGAGTAGGCCCACTGAAATCAAGTTAGTTCTGGCTAATTTAAATCTCATTGCCTTTAATAGGTCTACTCTGGTGTAATTGAACAGGCACAAATCCCCCACCATCTCCTTCTAAAGAAAGGTCATGCTCAGTAGAAACAATTGAGTATGTTTGAGGGTGGCCTAAACTGTAGGAGATCTTAATCCGGAAAGGATAGTATTTGCTACCCTTCCTTCCTAACAAAGAGCCTATCTTTTTAGAATAGAAAAAGTGCTTAGTTTAAAAGTATTGGGCTAGAGTTGGCCAGAGGACAATTTGAATAATATTTTCACATATGTATTGGTGCAGATTCAGAAATATTAAGTATAAACTTTAATAGAAATACAAGACATCTCCCCATGACTGGTAAGAGTGTCCGGGTGATATGCATTCTGTTGTCAGTGGGGAAATTCAGGGCCCTGCTCTGACATCCTGTGGCTCTTTGACTTTAAACCAGGCTTAGAATGGACAGACAGTCAACAGAGAACTGAAGACTGTAATTTGCCAGCTCTCCCAAACAGAGGTTTGTCCTCTGTAAAGCAGGACACCCGCCTACTCAAGGCGCAGAGCCAGTAATCTCATTCTATTGTGTCACTGATGTTCTCTTTCTCCTGGACGCTGACAATGGCAACTCCTCCTCCCTCCCCAAAGTTTTCCTATTCAGGTGCAAACAAGGCTGAGACATCTTTAACCTTCAGATAATTTTGAAGCAGGGCTTCTTGTCTCCTTTGGAGTATATGAAGAATTTTTGGGTCAAGGAGGACGTCTGGCACATGCAATGCATCTTGGCAAGCCTGCTTGCCCTTGATTCATGGACTGAATAGCCCCTAGCTGAATGGAGGTGCTCCTTATTGGAGGCTTTAGTGGTCCCAAAGATATAGAAACATAGAAACAGAGCGAGTCAGAAGGGGCCTCCCGGGCCATCCAGTCTGACCTCCGGCACCAGCCGGCTCTGCTCACGACATGCCATGAAGAGCACTTTACCAAGGAAACTTTAAGGCTATACCATTGGTGCATTAGAACACCACTCCGCTTCTTAGGAATCCAAATGGAACCAATGTTCTGCCCCTCTTCTCTGCTGAGATTGCAATTCTTTCTCCTGTGTTAGTTTAGTTTCACAAAAGGACCTACAAGAAATTATGCCCTCTTTTCTTGTTATCTCCTGGATGCTCTGATGGATGGCTGTTGTTTTTGGCTTCATGGCGATGTTCATGGCTGCTAAGTTCTTGAGTACTGCTATTGGCACTGGATCCCTCCTGAAGGTAAATTATGCCGTACTTGCACTCTGAACTTGGCTCTTTCTGTTTATTGTTATGCTAGAGCTGGTTGGCTAATACATAAGTGATGATGATGATGATGATGATAGTGAAGTACTGCTGGATCATGACACAGACTATAGTCAAAACTCTCTTGAAGCTTCCTTCCCCTATTCTGGATCAATATCCCATTTAAAAAAAATCATGGTGCCTAAATAAGTTTAGATAACCTCAGGGCCATCTGCATTTAATGGTACAATGTACTTCTGGTTATTTTGTATTATCCTTCATTAATATTGTCTTCTTTTAGTGTGTTTATGACCTAAGGTTGACTGCTTAGCTACTATGCTAGAAAGGTACATGGTGACTGGCATTGTGATTCTATACACAACTACTCAGAGGAAATTTCTTCTACTTCAGTGGGAGTGACTCCCAGAGACGGCAGTAAAGGATGGCAGCCTAGGTGAGATTAAGGCAGCAAGGAGGAGAATCCTTCACCATTATGAAATTTGCAGGTAGGTTACAATCCTGTATACATTTACCAGGAAGGGATTTCCGTGGAATGCAGTTTGACTGTTTTATGAGTACAGATGCTTGCAATGTTAAAGTTTTTGTCCAAAAAGGAAAAGCAGGATAAACATTTGCAGTATACTCTTCTCCATTTTTACCCTGAAATAAGTCCCACTGAATGCAAAATAAGTGTGCAAAAGACAGCATTACCTGCATCTGTAGGTAAAGTATGACTCCCATAATCCTCAACTATTGCCCATGCTGACTGAGACTGATGGGAGCTGTACATATAAACAACTGGTTGCTACCCCCTGCTATGGAATTTCAGCTTAAAGTATAAAGGCTGCAAAAAAGGGGGAAAACTACATAGAAGAGGAAATGTTGGCAAAATACTTGCTATGCTTGGATGAAGCAGATGAAGCTACAGAAAATCTTTCCTGTATATAATGGAGAAAAAAGGAAACAACATGGTAGCAGTTTTATTGCTTAATCACAGGTTGTTGGAATGATAAAAATATACAACTTAAACAGAACACACAAGCCTAAAACTATAAAACCAGCAGTCAGTCACATCACAGGCATGGACAAGTTAATCAGTCTTCCTTTTATGTTGTAAAGGTCTTTCCCAGCTTTTGAGATGTTGTGGCAAATAAAGCTACGCCATCATACATTTACTATAGCAGCTATAAGGCAAATATTTCACTTTCCTTGGAAGCAGCATGAGTGATACCTTCTGCATCGGATCATAAGGACGCGTACTCGCAATCTGCAGGCAAGGACAACTTTATCAGCCATGAATTGGTTTAATCACTCCCCAAAGACATCTCAGTTGGTGGCCACCACTATATCTTGAGGTTGGGAATTGCACAATGTCATCTATAAAGAAGCCCTGCTGTCTCTCCTGGCTCGTCCACCATTGAGCTTGATAGGACGATCTCACTGGGAGCTGGTAAGAGAGGGGGGAAATGGTTTCCTTTCCAAATTCCCCATATCATGCATACATTTATGCACCTCCATCATGTCTCTCCCCCCTCACTCTTTCCTCATTGGGGAGCTGCTCTAGCCCCTTGATCATTTTGGTAGCCTTTCACTATGTCTGGAACAAGGCAGGCAGTTCACTTCAGTTTAACTTTGATTTAGAACTATCAAGATTCATAAAGTTCTTCACATTCAGGACCAAAATAGTTTGAGATACAAAAATGAATATGGGAGAAACTGAATCTGACAGGGCTTTGAAGGCTTGACTTTTGCGTGTTGGGTTTGAACTCATACATTTCACCATGTTAGCAGTGATTTAAGGTCACCGCCTTTTGCTGCTGACAGATTCCTCATCTTTTTTACAGCTACATCATGAAACTGTTTGGTGGGATGGTTAGAACAGACAAAAGGAAGCACTTCCTCACACAATGTATAGTTAAGCTGCGGATGTCACTGCCACAGGAAGTGGTGATGGCCACCAAATTGGGTGGCTTTAAAAAGGCAATTGGACTGATTGATGAGGGAGGAGGCTATCAGTGGCTACTAGCCTTGCAGGCAACGTGCCAACTCCTTTAGCAGAAGTGGCATGCCTGCATACACCAGTTGCGGAGGGGCTTGGGCAGGTAGAGGTTTCGCAAGCCATCCTGCTTGAGCAATCCTGTAGGCAGCTGGCTTGCCACCAGGTGTGTGGAGTGCTGGACCAGGTGGTCCTTTGGTCTGTTCCATCAGGGCTTTTCTTATGTCCTTACATTCTTACCATCAGCAGACATAACATGGCTCTCTCCCTGCTGGGAATAATTGGAGAGCCAGTGTGGTGCAGTGGTTAAGAGCACGGGACTGGGACTCAGGCGATCCGGGTTCGAGTCCCTGCTCGGCCATGGAGCCAACTGGGTGACTTTGGGCCAGTCACAGACTCTCAGCCCAACCTACCTCACAGGGTTGTTGTTTTGGGGAAGAGATGGAGGAGGAGAATGATGTAAGCTGCCTGGAGCCCTTTGTAGGAAAAAGGCAGGATATAAATCGATCAATCAATCAATCAATCAATCAATTGTACCACTTGAGTTTGGCCAGTGTGGATGAGTAAGGATTTCATGCCAGTTTGTTTTGCAGAAGGGTTTGCCAAATTTGCAACATGTTAACAGTCAAATATAGGAAAAAGTCAAATGGACATGTTTGTCCATCTCTAGTACAAAGCCAGCTTGCTCATCTGGGTCCTAGAGGTGACAGGAAAACTTGCATTCAGTTCAAGGAACATACTGATTTAAAGAAGAGACCGGAGGCCTATTCAAGATGTTTTTCTCCACATTTTCAAAGAATGGGAGTGAGGGGAGCTGCATGCACAAGGCCCTGCCACGGGATTCTCATTCTCCCCCCCCCCCCACAACCTCCCTGCATTTAGTTCGAAGATCTGAAAGAGGATCTGTGCACTTTGCTGGCTATGCCTAGAAAGCTTCTTGCAGTTGGATTCTTTGCTAGAGTTCCAATCACAGGGAAGCCTGCTATTAGGAACTCTACTGCTAAATGTGTGGAGAATTTCCTACCAGGCCTCGCCGGTCACGGCTGGAGCTGATCTGCATGGAAAAGGAGCAGCAGCATTTTAAATGGATGGGAACAGCTCGGCGTGTCCACCTGTTTTACAGCATTTACAACTGCATCTTTTTTCTGTATGGTATTACATTTCCTCTCACAACTGCGCACCATCCACAATTTGCTGAGAGAAGTTTTAGTTCCAAGATCATTTAATGCAGCTGCAGTCTCCCAAAAGCTCTGAAGGCTTTCCAGCCCAATCCACTCTTCAGCACACTTCACCAACTTCAGTTCTTGCTCACATACCCTTAAAAAGCCCTATCAGTATAATTTATCATACTCTTTAGATCCACATTGTTTACAGCATTTACAACTGCATCTTTTTTCTGTATGGTATTACATTTCCTCTCACAACTGCGCACCATCCACAATTTGCTGAGAGAAGTTTTAGTTCCAAGATCATT